TTTCTTCCTAGTATAAGGTAGCAGTCCTTCTCAAAGTTATTCTATGAAGTTCAAGAATGAATGAACCGGCTCAGGGTTGACTCAGCCTTCCATCCTTCCGAGGTGGGTAAAATGAGGACCCGGATTGTTGTTGGGGACAATATGCTGACTCTGTAAACCGTTTAGAGAGGGCTGAAAGCCCTATGAAGCGGTATGTAAGTCTAACTGCTATTGCTATTGCTATGTTTTAAAAAAAGTGTGTGGGGGGGGAAGAGAATGCAGTTGCTGGATTCTAGTGCAGTGATAGCTAATCTTTTGGTTGTCACATGTCGAATAATGCAATGTGCTTGCAACACATTGCAATGTGCTTGCAACAACCTCCCTGTGCTCTGCCGCATTGCGCATGTGCCCGCGCTCCCCTGTTCCCCCTGTTTTGGCCCTGGAAGGCCTCTTGCACCAACCTGGAAGCCAAAATGGGACTCAGGGGCCCACGCATCCCCCCACATGCCCTATTTTGGGCCTAGAAGGCCTCCTGCACCAACCTGGAAACCAAAACAGGGCCCCAGGGGATGCTGTGCCAGCCCCCCCAAATGCACTTCAAGCCCCACCCCTGCATGCGTGTGTGTGTCCCGCGCAGTGCCCCACCGCCTGTGCATGCGTGGCAGATTCCCGAAGACCAGCTGGCTGGTGGGAGGCGCATGTGCTTGCATGGGGAACTGGGCTGGGGCGACGGCTGACATGCCTGCAGAAAAGGGCCACCTGTGGCACACATGCCATAGGTTGGCCATCATGGTTCTAGTGGAATCTGGGAATCATTTGCTAGGAGAAACCTTGGGCTGATCTCTCAACGCCAAGGGACGCAGCTGGTGCATTGAATCTGTTTCTAAAAAAAGAGACCTGGTCAAAGCAGAATGGAAACAAGGTACAACGATTCCCAACCTCAGCACCTTTAAGATATCTGGATTTCAACTCCCAGCTGGCTGGGGAATTCTGGGAGTTGAAGTCTACACATCTTAAAACTGCTAAGGCAGGGATGAAATCAACTTATCTTTGTTACTGGATTGGTAGCAATGTGAGCATGCGCAGGACCTTCCGTGTATGCGCAGAGCATCAAAACAGGACAAGCCTGTTACCAAGTGCGCTTGCAAAGGTAAGTAGAACAGCAAGGGGGGGGGNCCCCTGGAGTGGGGTGGTAATGGAGATTTTGCAGTATCCTCCCCCTGGAGTGGGGTGGTAATGGAGATTTTACAGTATCCTTCCCCTGCCACGCCCACCAAGCCACAGCATGCCCACTAACCCATGCCCCCAGAACTGGTAGTAAAAAAAAAAAGAATTTCACCTCTGCGCTCAAGTACTGAAAGACAACCCATGCCATTCTGAATCCTCTTTGTTACCCTAGCACTGTGATGGCGAACCTATGGCACTCAGAGCCATGTTGCTTGGCATGCGCAGCAGTGCCCATTTGTCTTCCGGCTTTCCGATGCGCATGTGCTGATCAGCTGGCCTTCATACACATGGCAGTGCTGGAAACTGGAAGAGCTGGTCTCCCATTTTCCGGTGTGAGCATGCGGGCTGGCCAATTAATCAGAGCGTGGGCATGCGCAGCAGTAACCGGAAGACCTGCTGGCTGGGGAATTCTGGGAGTTGAAGTCCGCCAAGGCTTAAAGTTGCCAAGGTTGAAAAACCTGCTTTACGCAGTTTAGAGAGTCAGCCTATTTGCCCCCAACAATTTGGGTCCTCATTTTACCCACCTTGGAAGGATGGAAGGCTGAGTCAACCATCAAAAGGTTGTAAGTCGAGGGCTACCTGTTTTTAAAACGCGTATCGAAGATGGGCGAACCCCCAAAGCCCCCTGCTCCTGCTTGCCACAATAGGAGAAACCCCACCTCGAGCATCTCTGATCTCACAGGTACAAAGGACAGCAAGAGAAAATTGTTCACCAGTGTGGAGGCTTCCTCCCCAGCGGGAGAACTGATCAGGATGAAGGAAAGCGCCAAAAACGAGGGTCACGCCCCTCAGCAAGAGATTGACAGCGCAGAGGAGAGCACAGACACCGAAGAAGCCACCGCGGTAAGTGGGGCTCTGCGATTTGCCCCAAGGGAGCAGCCTTATTCCACCAGATGGGGTTTTACTGCATTTCCTTCACACATCAGAGCATCCATCCTCATTTGCCTCGATGGCATGTTTACGCCCGCTGTTTCTCCTCCTCCTGTTATCAGATGGCTCAGAAGCATTGAGGGGAGGGGGAGGGAGAGGGGAGGGGAGGGGAGAAGCGCAGTGTGGAAGTGGACGATACCATTCTAGAGGTCTTGGCTGTCGAAGGTAGCTTAGCTGGAAAACACCTGGAAAACACCGAGCTGCAAAGATTTGGTTGCCTAATTAACATCTGGGTGCAATCTGCTCAGGTTATTTATGTCAAGAGTGTCTGTGGAAGATTCTCAGTCATCCAGGACCGTGGCTGTCTCAAAGGTGCTTTTTCAAAAGGCATCTGGATTTTTGTTTTTCCTTGAAGGTGTTTCCCTTCTCGTCCAAGAAGTGNGGCTTTGAAATGGAGATGAGCACCGCCCCCTAGAGTCGGGATTGACTAGCAGATAGGGGAACTTTTAGCTTTAAAAAATAAGATGGAGAATGAGATCAAAGTTATGGAGATGCTTGTTCAAATGTGCTGCGGAAATGGTGAGTTATTCGCTCTTGAAAGTATGCATTTCTAAAGCTTTTCTTTTCCTTTGCAGGAACAACTGTGACCTGGAGTATGAACTTTACAAAGATGATTTGCCATACAGGTGACTTTAGCGCTTTCATCTTGTCTCTTTAACTTTGCTATTCAATCATACAGATGGCAACTTCCTTAGCTTTTATTTCCCCCCCCCCAAAAAAAAAATGTCTACACTACTCTTTCTTGAAATATACTCTAAAAAGAGACTAGTAAATCAACTTCTCCTGCCCACTTTTCCTGCAGGATCTATGAATATCAGAAGATCCCGTCTCTTATTGGACACATTCCTATCAAAACCAGAAGAAGCCATCTCGGGGCAGAAAGTAAAACCAGACTGAACCCACACACGGACTTAAGAAGCAACAGCAATCCCACAACAGGACGTACAAAATGTGAGTGTCTGGGGACCTCAATGTTGTACAGAGACTTGGGTGGCAAGAGTCATCTTGTAGTACAAGAGCCAGGTTAGTTTAGGGCAGTGTTTCTCAACCTTGGCACCTTGAAGGTCTGTGGACTTCAACTCCCAGAATTCTCAAGCCAGAAATTCTGGGAGTTGAAGTCCACACATCTTCAAGATGTCAAGATTGAGGAACAATGGTTTGGGGTGCGGAGCTGCCAGCAGAGTCGGACAGTGAGGAGGTTGGGGAGGAACATGGGCCAGTCCTGGGGGATGAGGAAGGCTCTGACAAGGGCTCTGTGTTGGAAGCAGAGAGGGGGCCAGGGCCGTCCTACATTTATCAGCTGCCTTTGGAGTCAGACATCAGTGGGGCAGAAGAACAGCTGGAGCCTGTTCTCGATGTGCGCATGCACAGAGCTGCCAGGAGAAGGGAACAGCTAAGGAACAGGGGTCGACTCAGGAGTAAAGGCACAGGTGGAAGGTGAATGGCCCCTCCCATAGGGAATAAGGAGAAGCGTAAGGTGAGTGGAGTTTGCAGGAGACAATTAGTTCGCTTAATTAGTGTGAAGATTTGTTCCTGATTCTCAGAGACTCCTTGCCAAGTATTTTCTTGTACAGCAGTTGCGTTTGGAAGATATCGGCCTGGCACCTCTCCAAGCCTGTGTCAGACACAGAGAGGGAACTAGACAGCAGCAAGGCAGAGGAACAGCTGGAGCCTGTTCCCAGTGTGCGCATGCGCAGAGCTGCCAGAAGACAAGAACAACTAAGAAAGCAGGGTTGACTTAGGAGTAAAGCCACACCTTGGAGGTGATTGGCCCCTCCCAGAGGAAACAAAAGAAGAGCGAATGGGGAGGGGGCTTTTGCAGGAAACAATAAGTTGATTTGGTCGTGTCAAAAGAGAAAAAGTCTGTCTGTAACTATAAGAGACTCAGTGCCAAGTTTTGCCTTGCCCTGCATTTGGAACTAGTCATTTGGCAGCTCTCCAAGCGAGATAAGGTTCGTATTTGATAAACATTCCTCTGAAAGACTGTTTGCTAAGCCTTGCTGACTGTCAATGGAAGGAATTCACAGTCGTGTAAATAAAAGGGGTTTTGCCAGAACCAAGACTCCGTTTCTTGCTTGTTAAGTAATCCTGGGTCAGAACAGACAAAAATCAGGAGCTTAGTAGCATCTTTTCCATCTAATCTGTTTTATTGCACTAGATTGTACTAGATTTAACAGAATTGGAAGGGACCTTGTAGGTCATCTAGTCCAACCCCCTCCCCCCCCAAGCATTCAGGTCTTCAAATAGGGCAGAACCAATGAAGATAGAGAAAGCAGAATTCCGTTTGTCTTAAGGCAAAAGGCAGAACAGGAAACGTAGGCTGGAGAAACGGTGGTGGGAATTTAGAAATGAAAGCAGGATTTTGTATTGATCTGAACCAGCCAGCCGATTGAATCGAAGGCCAGGAAGAAGCGGGATATAATCTACAAACCGTTCCTATTACAAATCTGCTTCTTTCGAAGGAAAGGATTTCTGGGTTGAAAAACAACAACAACAACACTCTGTATGCGCCAATTTGTGGGTGGCTGGGTTTGCAGATGTGCACAGGGAAACAATTCTCCTGATCTTTATTGTGGTGTCCTTTGCAGCAGCTTTTTGGAGGTTTTTTTTAGATGCCGTTGTTTGCAAAAGTTGGGAAATTATCCTGTTCATTAGCAAGGATGCAAATGGCTGCTGGCATAAAAGCTAGAATGAATACCACCCCCACCCACCAGCCCACATTTCCCAGTTCATTTTCTGCAGAGGGTTTTTAAAAGGAGCACTGCTCATTCTCCCGTCTCTCTCCCCCTCCTCCTTGCAGTACGAGCCGAAGAATTGCACTCCATCAAAGGGGAATTAAGCCAGATCAAAGCACAGGTGGACAACTTACTGGAAAGCCTCAATCGGATGGATCAACAGCGGGAACACCCCACAGGTGAGGGAGAGAAGAGTCTTAAGGGCTAGAAGGGACCTTGGAGATCTTCTAGTCCAAACCCCGGCCTAAGGCAGGAGACCGTATACAATCCTGGATAAATGGTTGCCCAATCTTTCCTTGGAAGCCTCCAATGGAGCACCAAGAACTCTGGGAGATAAGCTGTTCCATCTCTGTTCCCACTGTTGGGAATTTTCTCTTTAGTTCTTAGGTTGGATCTCTTTTTAACAAACTTCCATCCACTGCTTCTTGGAATGGCGCTTTGGAGAATAAGTTGACCCCCTCCTCCCTGTCATAGCCCCTCAAGCAGGGGTGAAATCCAGTAGGTCCTGACAGGTTCTGGAGTACCAGTAGCAGAAACTTTTGAGTAGTTCGGAGAACCTGCAAATGCCACCAGACTGGGGTGGTAATGGAGATTTTGCAGTATCCTCCCCCTGGAGTGGGGTGGTAATGGAGATTTTGCAGTATCGTCCCCCTGGAGAGGGGTGGTAATGGGGATTTTACAGTATTCTCCCCCTGGAGTGGGGTGGTAATGGAGATTTTGTAGTATCCTCCCCCTGGAGTGGGGTGGTAATGGAGATTTTGCAGTATCCTCCCCCTGGAGTGGAGTGGTAATGGGGATTTTACAGTATCTCCCCCTGGAGTGGGGGGGTTATGGGGATTTTACAGTTTCCTCCCCCTGGAGTGGAGTGGTAATGGGGATTTTACAGTTTCCTCCCCCTGGAGTGGAGTGGTAATGGGGATTTTACAGTTTCCTCCCCCTGGAGTGGGGTGGTAATGGGGATTTTACAGTATCCTTCCTCTGGAGGGGGGGTGGTAATGGGGATTCTGCAGTATCCTTCCCCTGGAGTGGGGTGGTAATGGAGATTTTGCAGTATCCTCCCCCTGGAGTGGAGTGGTAATGGGGATTTTACAGTTTCCTCCCCCTGGAGTGGGGTGGTAATGGGGATTTTACAGTATCCTTCCTCTGGAGGGGGGGTGGTAATGGGGATTCTGCAGTATCCTTCCCCTGGAGTGGGGTGGTAATGGAGATTTTGTAGTTTTCCCCCCCTGGAGTGGGGTGGTAATGGGGATTTTACAGTATCCTTCCCATGGAGTGGGGAGGGAATGGAGATTTTGTAGTATCCTCCCCCTGGAGTGGGGTGGTAATGGGGATTTTACAGTATCCTTCCC